GACCCACAGCCAGACATTATGCATATAGAGTAAGTCCTTGAAACACACAGCTCTAACTTGGTTATCTCCATCAAATAACTCCCATCAGAGCTCAGGGCACCCAGAGGAAGAGGAGGCAGGAAGAGCTAGATGGGAGGGGCATACCAGGAGAACAAGACCCTCTGAATCAGCCGATCAAGGCTCATACTTGATCAGCTGGACTGAGGCAGCAAGCGCACACATGGGTCCCGCAGGTCCTCGACACACATATTAGAGCTGAGTGTTTTTTATGGGTCTCCTGAGCGGGTCTCATCTTCTTGCGCCTGTTCTTGGGGTTCTGTTCTTTCTGTTGGGCCTTGTCCAACTTTGACGTGATGGCTTTTGATTATCACGTATTTTATTTTGTCATGTTTTGTTATCTCTCAGAAGCCTGCTCTTTTTCTAATGAGAGACAGAAAGGGATCTGGATAGGAGGGAGCCGGATAGGAACTGGGAACGGAGGTGAGTGGAGTGAGGTAAATTACATTCAGATTATATTGTATGAGGAAAGAATCTATGTTTACTAAGAGGGAAAACATTACAAAATAAAATGGAAAATGTGTTTCCTCTTACAGAGTTTCTCTGTGATAGTGAAGCCTCTTGACCCTACATCAGAAGTGTGTGGCTGAGGAGTGTAGGATGCACAGGTTGAGATTAGCTCTGCACATAAATTTTCTTCCCTACAAAAATATCTACCAGTGTTATTTACTTTAAACTTTTATTTTGCTCTCATGATTAATCAGAGCATTGACTGAGCCCCTATTATGTTCCAAGTAACTTCTATTTTAAACAACTAAAAGAAAATTCATTCTCCTTCCTGGGCTTTGTTTTAAGAAACCAGACAGTTTCTAATTTGGAACAAGAGTCCACATGGAAAAGCTTCTTGGGTGTGTGTTGAGGAAGTACTAGAAGTGAGATAAGTTTTATAAAGCAACTTGGGGATTTGCCCAGGTAAATAAAATCTACTATACCATAAAAACTTCATTTGTAGGACTGAGGACATGGAACCAAGCCTGGTGACTTGAGTTCAATTTCCAAACGCATAGATGTCAGAAAAGAACTGACTTCAGAAAATTGTCTTCCAACTTCCACAGATGTGTCTTATACACACACACACACACACACACACACACATGCACGAATGCACACATGCACACATGCATGCATACACACACAGACACACATGCACAGAGACACACACACAAACACACACGCATGCACACACACACAGACACAGACACACACACACACATACACATGCACACACTCACACACACACACAGACTCACATACATATGCACACATGCTCACACACAGAGATAGACACACAGAGACACATACACACACAGACACACACACAGGCACACACACACACACACAGACACACACACAGACAAGAGAACACAGAGACACGCATGCACATACACAGACACACACAGTATATTTTTGTCAATGTCATTAACTAAAACAAAAGCAAAATGTCTTGTAACTGAAACAAAAGCAGAGTCACCTGTCCAACAGGAAAGACCCAAGGCAAAGAGAGGTTGTAACAGTTCATGCAGACATGCTAATAACTCTATCTTAGACTGAGAAACAAAACAACTTCTTCCAGAGATCTTTGCTTCCCACAAGAATGAAAGACAGTGGGAGCCATGAGGGCCAGTGATCTCAAATAAAAAACACAACAGCACACCTCAGGTTCTTAAAACAAAACAAAACAGAAAGAAGCTAAACCCCAAATGTGTGGGTGGCAAAAGAAATAATAAAATCAAGACAAACATCAATAGAACATAGACTTGAAAAAGAACCACACAAAAAAGAGTATTTTCTTTGGAAAAAATGAAATCGACAAACAATCAGCTGAACTAACGGCAAGAAATGAGATCTAAATTACCAAAATTAGAGGTGAAATGGCGGCGTTTTACAAAAGATTACAATCAAATTCAGAGAATCATAGTGAATATTTTTAGTATTTCTGGAGAACTACAAGAAAGAACCAGATGTGATTTTATTTGAGGAAGGCATCTCATATTATCCCAGAGAAAACCTTGGCATAGTTGAGTACAAAATGGAAATGTCAAACCCATTCTGGCACATTTTAATACCAGTAATTTAAGGCAAAAGACTCTGTTATGGGAAACCTAGCTGCCTTCTAGATTATAACATTTTTTTCTATTTTAAATACTATCATATAGTAGAAGGTTCCCTGATAGAATTTTCATATATATTCTGTTTTAGTTAATCCTCCTCCCTGCCCCTCCTCTCCGTTCCCTCTCGGACGGACCGTGTAAACTTCGAACTGCAGAAGTCCGTTTTCCGAGTTTATGCTGGATGTATTCTGCCACCCTCTTCCTTTCATTTAAACTCTCTCTCTTTCTCTTTTTTTTTTTAACTCTCATGATCCATATTCCAGTTTCATAAACTATACCAACGTTTACACCTCTGTGTGTACAAATATGTTAATATTATAAATGTTAATGACTAGAATGTAGAAATGAGAGAGCCCATGGCATATTTGTCTAAGTCTGTGTTACCTGGTATGGTCATATAATTTCTAGAGCCATTTACTTTCCTGAAAATTTCGTGTTTCCTGTTTTTATGAATGAATGACATTACACTGAGTATATGTACTGCATTTTAATTATCCATTTATGCATCGATGTCTGATTTCATATCCTTGCTCTTGTGAATAGAACAGCAATAAACACAGCTCTGCATGAGCCTCCACGATAGAGTACAGAATCATCTGGGTATTCGCCACCAGTTTCAGAGTTGAACTGGGGCCCTGACATTCAGAGTAAAGCATCATCCAAACTGGATCTTGGAGTGTCCCTCTTAAACCAGGGAGACTTTTCTGTTTCTATAGATAGTTTCATATTGTCCAGGGTGTTTAGTTTCCCAGTCTAGAGAACAAGGCCCTTGCCTTGTGTTGATATTATTGATTTTACAATTTTTGGTCCTTTCAGGAATGCATATTTTATTAACAATTTTAAATTATGGCCATAGGTTCCCAAAATACTGTCTGCTTACTCTTCTCATCTCTACCAAAATTCTTAACAGAAGCTTAACATTCCAATGAAACTTATTTTGGTTTTATTAAGTCTCATAAAAGCATGGCCTTAATACAAGTGTCTGCACCCAAAAGGTGTATATAGGACTGTTCTATAATAATTGTAAGTTCTGGTTTCTCATACGGTGGAATCTTCTTTTTCCTCCCCTGTCTTTTAGGAGCCGATGGCACCCCAGCTTACCCCCTGTCTTTCTTGAATATTGTGGCTACTTAATGTAGTGTGCTCCAAGGGAGACCTTTAAGACTAAGATTTAAACGGGAAATTTCCTCCTGGAAATGTGGAGAACACTAGCTACAAAATGTGATGTTGACACGCACAAGACAATGAATGAGTTAGAGACGGAGGAGGAGAGCCTCTTACTACATTGAAACTGCAGCACAATCCTGGGGTGAGTACTTGGTAGACAATGGGAAAACAGTATTACTGACTACCCTCTCCAGGGAAGCGAGACTTTCTGTGCTGAGTAAGTGCTGTAGGCTTGCCGGAAACCTAGTGTTTCTTCTCCCATTGACCAATTACAGGCTGCCCTGTGTCTGACAACTCCGTACTCTTCCTGGGCTAGAAACGGTTCAGATAGCGACTGATGAGAATTGTTGGGCATTACAATGTAGACACTGGGGGGGGGGTATGCAAAGGCAATGATCTCAATGACTTCTTTTTCCAGACGTTTGCAGTTGCCAACCATGGAGGATCTCCATCTCCTCCATCCTCCATCTCTATGACTTTGAATGTTTCAGTGATCTTTTATAAGGAGAAACATACAGGATTATACAGGGTTTTTTTTTTTTGAAATTATAGCATAATTACACCGTTCCCGCATTTCCTTTCACCCCTCTAGCCCATATACCCTTGCTTTCTCTCTTTGAAATTCATAGCATCGTTTTTCATTGTTGTTGTATGCATATATGTGTGTTCATATATATTCTTAAATATAACGTGCTCAGTCTGTGCAGTGTGATTTGTTTATATGTCTTCAGGACTTCCGTTTGCTATTGGGTGACAGGAAGGACACTACCCCTTCAATTAGTGGAGATACGTTGCAGTAGAGACTGGACTCAACCTGGGCTATGTGTTTTAAGCCACAGAAAAGTAAAGAAAATACTTTCAGATGAGATGTTTATATGGTGGTTTTTGTCCTCTAGTAAATATTGTTACAAAATGATGGAAAGAGAAAGGAGTTAGGACCAAGCCAGAAAGCCTGAATATGTGGCCCAAGTATGTTTATCATATAATATATATACATACATATATGTGATAAACAAGTAAACATGGTTATGCCTAGTACAATTAAAGACTATTAATTTCTTCTTACTGTCAAGTATTTATAGATGTTTACTTCATCCGCTAGTCTGAGCGTTAGGGAAAAGTTATGAAAGAACACACTGAGGACCTTAGACAATTCAAATCACCCTTTAAATGTGGCTTCCTGAATTTTCTACAGCAGATACAAAATGAAGCAAAGGCTCAGAGGAATGCTCATAGACATACCGGCAAGACTAACTGATAATTTTAGTGCTGGGAAATGATAAGTGTCTTCCCCATCAGGCTAAAGAGGGTTGGTTGTATGGGGGCAGTGATTGATGCAGGTGTTGAAAACCAATTTACCAGGAAAAAGTCAGGTCCACCCACCCGCGTGGCAAGCACGTCGCACACCGAGGGCTCCAGCCCCTTTTTCCTTCTTCATGTCAATGCACAGTAAGAACTCATAAAAAAATCTCAAAACCGGTTCTTTGAAGGACGAGTGTAAGCACTTTGCTGACATTGAGGATGGATTTTTTTTTTGGAGGCAACATACAATAGTACACGGAGAAGCTTGTAAGAATTTTATTTAACAGACTGTCATGGATATCCCAGTCAGTTACACTTAGAGAAAAATGACATTGGTTTTGAAAGGCACACAAGAGGTTCCCATTAGCGGACATGCACAGTACGGTAAGTGTAATACGTGTCTCCTATGATGGGCACCACGGCCACATCGTCAGGGCAGACATTTTTCTCCTTAACAATTTCAACCAGTACTTCAAAAGTGACAGTTTCTGGAAGAGATGAAAGAGAACAGAGGTCATCTCTCAGACAGTTTAGCGTGCTCCTTTTTTTCCTGCTAGGGCCGGGTAAATGCCTCCTAAGACCCACTTCCCCCAAATCGTTTGCAGACCAACGTCTGTCTAGTCTTTGTAGCGCAATGCTTTCTGCAGCTTTAGAACTCAAAGACTGTCCTCACGAGCTTCCTTCCCACCCACCATCCCCACCCACCATCTTGCCTTTCTATCCCCCCCCACCCGTTAGTTCTGCGGTCATATTTCTAAAGTTCCCTCTTGGGCAGGTAGTTCCTCCTACTTACGGGTGACTGGAAAGTCCCAGTAGAAGTTTACTCGATGATCGTTACAGATGCAGCGGGTTTGTTTGAAGTTGAAGTTGCCTTCCATCTGGACATTGCTTTTAAGGGAAGCTGTGACCTGATGGGGAGAGATGACTCACAGTTAGTCCAGGAAAAGGGAAGAAGAGGTCAGTAACACAGGAGAGGAAATCGCTGAGAGCAGCTAACGGAGCAGCACATAGATTTTATATTCATCATGGTATTGTCACCCCACAGGCTGGCTTTGCCAGGCTCTGCTCTTCGCACCCCCCAGGCTCGTGCCTGAGAAGTCTGCGCATGCTATTCAGGGGGATGTAAGCGAATCCATCAGACAAGGAGATTCGTTCTACTGTGGTTATCTTCTGGGTGTGCGTGGGTGGTGGGCGGCGGCGGGAAGGCTTGCTTTTGGTACTGGCTAGAGTTCTAGGAAATGGCTTGCGTGAGTTGACATCCCAGCTGTTGAAATGTACACACCAGGACAAGGCTTTGTGAGGATGATGGTCAAACCCCAGCTGCAGCTACTTCTAACTCTGTGACAGTTGGGTTAATCTCTCCCTCCTACTTATTCCAATTGAAAGTTGCTCCCTCTGTCCATGTCTGGTCGCTAGGTAAGCAAATAATCCTTGAGGACAATTTCTTTGCCTTTTAAACTCGAGAGTGCTTGTCAATTTAAGACCTCAGACAAGTGTATGTATGTTCTGTCTTAGGGATATGTCTACCCAGATGAACCTGTGACTAGAATTCAGTAAGTGTGGGAAAAGTGCCTTTAAATGAGATTTAACATTCTTCCTGTAATTAAAGCCATCAATGCAACACAAGGAATTAGGAGTATGTATGATTTTTACTACAAGCAGAAAGAAGGCAATTCATATCCGTCTTCAGATTCAGTCATCTTGAAATACTGCCTTAACCTCGAATATATGGTCATTTATCAGGGTAGTGGTAAGCATAGGGGTGAAGAGACCTGGCATATGCTCGCCTCGGATGTTTGCTCAGATATCTGGCAACTCCATACTGAATAATGACAATCTCCTAAACAATAATAGCGCTGGGATGCTAGTCAGCGTGAAACGTCTTAGAGAGTCCTGCTCTGGTATCGAGAGAAGACCTCATTTCCTCTTCATTATATTTGCCATAAGATCTCTTCATGAGAATTTTGAAGAATTACGTGTTTGAAACAGTAAGTTGGAGTCCACTGAGTGTGCTACACATCCACCTGTGGTACGATGTCAAAGGCCATCACAGTACTTTCTTCCTTAAGCCGAACCAGTCACAACTATCACAGACAGTGTCTTCATAAATGAATTTAACTTTGCTTGCATTTCGTGTGTGTTAGATTTGGGGGTCATCCATTGATAAACTCATAGATTACCGTATGGAGTAATATGGTGTGGTTTGTAATATAATAATGTAATTTTATCATCATTATTAAAAATGGTAGTTTCTCGTGTAATGAAGTGTGCATTTTGGCCTTAGAAGAAGTTTTCTGACAAGTAAATTACAGACTTTATGAGATCATGAAAATGGTCTGTTGCACAAAGATTCTGGGGATTGAAGTTCGCCTCAAGTTTTCTCCAGCCTTAAAGAATTATATGGTCATCATACTGAAGCAAATAATCACAGTATATGCTATTCTGTTTTAATTTGAAAATGAATATGTGAGCCCAAGACTAAATGTTGTTATATATTTATTTGTAAAACATCGTATCACTATAAAACAGAGTAACTATAATGTTCAATCATAAAAAAAGAAATATATTCCTAAAAAGGTTTAAACTGTAAATATACTTTATAGTTACAGTCATGTGTTGACTCTCTCCCATACCGCACCTCAGAAAGCTAAATAAAAAATAAATTAGTTGGCGGGTTGGAGAGACGGTTCAGTGGCTAAGAGCACTGGCTGCTCTTGCAGGGGACCCAGGTTCAATTCCCAGCACCCATGTGACAGCTCACAGCCACCTTTAACCTCAGTTTCAGGGTATCCAACTCCCTCTTCTGGCTTCCATAGGCACCGGACACACAACCGGCATTTAAAACAATCATGAACATAAAATAACGTTTAAAAATTGTTTGTTGCAGGATGGGATGGCTATGATCTTTATCTATAGTCCCAACACTTGGAAATCCAATGCAGTGGATCAGGAAAATAGTCTATCGTGAGCTCATGAGTTTGAGGCCAGCCAGAGCAAAATAATGAGGCTGCTCAAAATAAACTAACAAAATTTCCATTAACACAACTCTTGATTGAAAAGTTACCATTTAAGGCGTTTTCGTCCCTCGTGCTTCTCTTCGGGTGAATTTTTTATATATGTACAATTGTTCTTTTGGAGTAGAAGCATGATTCTTAAAATCAGACATTTATTCACTCTAGTGTCACATGCCATTTTGTTTAGCTCAACACAATCATTACAGTAACCCTTTAAGGGTGCAAATGGACTTCCATTGTTTGACATCACCAGAAGCTATCTTTGCCACGGAGATCTTTTTGTGTACCTCGTGTAAACACTTCCCTCAACCTCATCTGTGGTTATGAGTAACAAAACATACATTACAAGACTATGAATCATACACCCACATTAGCAAGCATAGTTCAGGAAAAAGAAAAGAAAGAAAAGATAAGACGGTGGAATACATTTGCATTATGTCCAAGAATCTTTCTTTTTATCAGGGTGAGGCTATTTCTAGATTACAATTTATTGAATGGTCTTGTCTGGTACTGTTTTGTTCCTTATTTGATGGTTATTCTTGAGATCATTTGAATTAAGAAAGCCATACTGTAGGGATGTGTAGCATAATGTTGTGTTCTGTCTTCAGGTTGTTCAGGGTACAAAGTGGGGAACCCCCTTCTGTAGAGCCTGGGGTTTGATCAATCTGGAATATGTGGCATCTACCTAAACAACCGAGCACATTTATGCCTTGTGATGAATGCTATAACAGTTATGAACGTGGATTACTCTCTGAGAACCAACACACTAGGAAAAAGAGGAAGCGTCTCGGCCTCTTGTCAGGCCAGGAGGCGGAGGAAGGGAGGGCAAGAGTCTCAGCTCTCTGGCTCAGCGCTCTGGCTTTACTAAAGAAGAACCAGATCCTCTTCTCTCTCCTCCGGCCTATGGCTGTGGCTGCAGGATGTTCTTAGGACAGCCCTGCTCCCCAAACCCTTATCCAAATCTAGTCTTGCTTCGGACCCTGGAGGAAACACTACCATTTTGCCACCTCTTTCTCATCCCCCGGACCAGGGAGCCTCCATCTGTAGAATGGGAAACAAGCTCTCAACATTATCCTGAGATTCAGGTAATAAAACATGTAGGAGATTTTGTTTGTTTGTTTATCAAGCTTCTCCTGCAGTATTAACACAAGATATGAATTCCATCGTATTCATAACTCAGGAGTCAGATTTGGTTTGGAGTCACTTTCTCAGGTGTCTACTTACCACTAAACATTCCTTGTATTCCGTTATCATTCCAAGTCTCACAGAAATCTCATCGTTTGCCTTTGCAGCTGTTGGAACATCTAAATAAAATATAAGTGGCTTTCGAATGCTTCTGGGAAGAGAAAAACAGGGCAGAGGTCAGAGACCTGCACCTGGAGAAAGCACCCAGCTGTAGGGAACACAAAGGGAGTTGTACAGCTTGAAGTGCTCAACATCTGAATCCCTGTGTGTGTTTGCTGGTCTGCTGGTTGTCTTTGTTTAACAAGGCAACGGATACATTGTTTAAAACGGAGTGTCTTTTTCTTTTTGTTTCAAGTAACCAATTCTAAAGTGGAAAACTATCTTCTGTCTTATGCCATTTCCTAACGACCTACAGCAGTGGTGTGCCAGCTCCATGTCTGCTGAATAAAATGACTGAGTTCAGTCATCCTTAGGAGAGAACTTTATATCCACAGACATGTAAACAACTCCGCACTGGAGGAGTTCATAGATCTTCTTGAGGATCCTCTCTTATGATTCCAGGACACAGCCTAGGAATGTGAATCTATTTAGGTCTACAGAAAATCTGTACAGATTGTAATTGTGAACACATCACAGCTGAGAAAAAGAACCTGCGATGAAGCAAAGAGCCAAGTGTTCCTCTTTAGTCAAGAAAGGCTGTTCAGGACCAAGAGGATTGTGTTTTCACAATACTCTTCAGAAAAACAGTCCTGGCTGAGGTCCTTTGGTGCTATGTGGAATAGGAAGGAATTCTTAGACAGTATTATCCATAGCTCCACTTTCCTAGAGAGCAAAACATGTTACATTTTAATTCTTGTGCCAATTGCTCTAGGACACAATTCCTAGGAAGGATACATGAAGACCAAGGGTCTTCAAAATTTCCATTTTGTGAATGAGTTTAGGGTTAGTAGCATGATCAGATTAGCTATAGCAATTTACCATGCCAGTTATTTTTCCCCTGAGGATAGGGATCCCATACTAGGTAGGCATTCTATAATAAATACGCCGGCTGTGATGGCCTAGTCACTTTAATTGTAAGGCTTATTTCAACATAAGCTTCCCTCTGGTCTGGGAAGAATGCCATCTGAACTGGAACATGAAGGACTCTTCTCAGGATGCTTGCATCGATATCTGCTAGGGTAAGTAAGACATTTGGCCAAGTTTCCCAGAGCACCCAAAGGGTCATAATCCAGAAAACCGGCATCGTAGGCTGCTGCAAATGTAGACATCTCTAGTCTGATTGTGTAAACTCTACCTCTCCGCCTGCCATAGCCTCTGGATTAATTTCCTTCTTCATTCTACTCTTTCAACTTTTCTGCTTTCTTTAAATGTGGACTCTCAGTATGGTGTCTTCCAGGTCCCAGGGTGAGTGCTACTAAAGACCCTGGTGTTTATTTACCTTTGGGTTTTATGATAGGAATAATATCTATTTTGTCTGTTTGGCTAACTCAACCTGACTGCCGGACCGTGGCAAAAGCCCTCATTCTCAGTGACGCCTGCCAAAGACATCTGAAGCTGTTGCTAGAGCTCACAGATCTCTTTTACCTTTTCAAGGTAAACAGTAAAAATCTGAGCAGTGGATCAGAGAGAGAGAGAGAGAGAGAGAGAGAGAGAGGGAGAGAGAGGGAGAGAGAGGGAGACTAATAGTTCGTGGAAAACTAATGTACACTGGGGTTTTTATTTCTTAGGCAACCTATATACCCAGAGGAAAGGTGGAGGGGACGGATGAAGGAAGCCTACTTAAAGGACGGAACATTCCATGAGGTCTAGGAGAGCTGCCAAGGTTAGAGATCTTTGCAGTCTGAAAATCTACAGAAAAGGGTGTGCAGGCTTCCAGGTCAGGAGGGGAATCCTGCAGAAAAAAAAGAGAAGGGTTTGACTCACGCATCATCCTGAGCCTTGTTGATCCCTAGCTGCAGGCACAGGATCAAGAGGGAGGCAGCACTGAGCTTAAGTGAAAGGCGGTGCATGGTGGAGAAACCAGGATGCCAGAGCAGTAGGGCTGGTGGTGCTCCGCACAGGTTTTATATACAGATTGGGGAAGCAGAAAAGCTGGCAGGTAGGTCCATGGAGTGAATCACCTAATCATTCTTCACACTCCTGATCCTTCCTTGTTGAGGAGAAGTTTTTTTTTCCCTTCTATGGAATAAATATCATCATTCAATTAAATTGTTAGAATATATGTGATTGAACTTCCTTGTTTTCTCAGGGTCAGAGATCTCTAAAGGACGTTTCTTGGCTTACAGACATGTTTTTCTTCTTTCTCGTTTAATTCTCTGTGCTGTTCCTTACCTTAAGACACTGCCGGTTTGATCTTGGCAGGCACTGGGCATTCTGAGTGGCAGGTCCCAAGTCACAGCTACACAACACATTCACTTGATGATTTTGTAGTTAATTGAAAAGGAGATGCCACTAAAGAGATTTCTTAGAGCTCTAATAGGACCAGGCACAGTTTTCCAGAAGCCGCTACCGAGGATAAAGCTGAGGGAACTAAGGAAGGGCTGAGCTCTCTGGAGGATGGGGGAAGTGGAACCTTAGTAGCTGATGACGTGGTGATGCTTGAGGCCGTTAAGCCTTTCTGTACATCAGGGGTAATAGTGACTTTTCCAGGTGCTCGGAGTTTTTAGGTAAGATGATTCCTTCATCACACAGAAGACATTGACATAGTTACACCCTCAAATCCAACCTTCCATCATTAAAATGTCCAGACATTTCCCACCCTTGTTTCATGGTAGAAGGCATGTAGGAAGACAATGGCGAGGACTCCCTCCCCTGAACCAGAACTCAAACTACATTACAGTAACATCCTGGCACATGGCTTTCTCCCCAAGAAATGATAGGAGACTCACTCTTACATACCCCGCTGTCTTTACTGACCCAAAGCTGTCATGTAACATAAAATTTACTGTTACGAGATTTAAAATTACCTGTTGAATGACAAAAGTTTGGGATGATCCTCTGGGGTATGAACGTGAAAGTCATCAATTTAAGACTTACCTATGTATTCTGCTGAGAAATTAAAGTCTAGCTGTATGCTCACAGTAGATGAATTTTAAAAACTTCTCCACCTGCTTGTTTATTCTTGTGGTAATCTCAACATTCTCTTAAGCTGGACACCAGTTAGTCCTCATTCTATTTGCAGCTGCAACCACACGCTTTCTTCTCTGTCTCAAGAGTGATGTTTTTGTTCTGCCTTGTCCTGGTCTCAGTGACCCTCCTTCATAAGTATTTTCTCATGCTTTAACTTTTTTACACCAAATTCTTTCCCTGTTTACTTGAGTAATCTCTACTAGAGGATCACCGTAGCTGGTATCAGCCAAAGAATATAGACCATGTCCACATAGGAAATCCAGAAATGGCTCCTTGCTGGACCATAACTCCCTTCAGAGGTACATCTCTGTCCTTTAGTGTGTATCTGTGGCAGTTTTGATAAACTAGGGATCAGGAAAGACAGATGGAAACAGAGCAAATATAGAGGGTAAAGAGATCATTATATAAATCAGCAGAGATTTATGGCATTCATACCCTTTCAAAATATGTAACAGAAGTAATGGCCATATTAGTATTGACTAGTGTGAACATTTAATGAGTTGATTTGACTAAGCGTGGTTCCCAGTAACAAAGATTTTGCTTTGAAGACATTAAAAAACAAACAAACAAAAGCAATGTGATTAACACTGACACTATCCAAATTTCGGTAGAGTACCTTTTTTGAACTGCATTTCATTGGATTAGTTCTTTCATGGTGATCATATAAAATAATGAGTTTAACTGCGACATTTTAGATCCAGGTGTATCTCTGCATGTTGGGTCTTTTTCCTCCATACAAATAATCCTCCTTTTGTTTTCTTTTTTTCCCATTTCTAACACACACACACACACACACACACACACACACACACACACACACATACACACACACTCATGCACACAAACAATAAATGCTAAATGACCTTTATTTGTGCAATTTTATAGATGATATGTAACAATGTTTTCAGAATATAATTGTGACAAAAGCTGATGATAATCTCATCTAATTGCCAATATTATTATTGAGAAACCCTTTCTGGTAGGTAGCTCTTAGTGGGCAAGTGTGAACCAAACTTGTCATGCTATAAGCTTAAGCCATTAGGTTTAAGAGACTAAGTAGATCTAACACATAGATAAAAAACAGACTATAAATGACTCAAGGGGCTTCTATGAGAGATACCGACACAAAGGGATGAAAGACTAAGGTATAGTCTCAGGCTTAATGTACAAAAAAAGTAACATTAAATCCAATAGGCCCACAGTAAAACAGACAGTGTGGTCCCCAAAGGGAGTTACAGAACGCAGCACACATGGGTATGGGGCACATATATAAGTATGGGGCACATATATGACATTCTGCACATATATGACAATGTTCTAAACATTCTCCATGAAAGCCCTCACTGCATCCTCCTAGTGATATTATATAGTAGTTTTCTATTTTTATCCTGCTTTACAAAAGAGTCAACTGAAGCAAAAGAGAGACAGATTCCCGGCATAACTTATAAGACAGTAACCAAAGGACTCAGGTTTGGGGTTAGGCTTTGTGCAATCTGAAAGCTTTTGGTTTACAATATTAAGTAGCCTCTTTCAGAGGCAGGATGCGAACTAACAAATATAAAATAAAGGGGATGTTGAAAGAGGCACCAGCAAGCAAGCAGCCTTGAAGTTTCACATTAACGCAGAGTAAATATACTTTGTGAAAGGTGTCAGATGTTGAGCTTAGGAAGTCTGATTCTACATCTGGAGTGTTGACTCACACTGCATTGCCTCTTCATGAGAATGAGCTCCAGTGTTTGTTACTGGAAAAACTGGGCTTCTAGATTAACTAGTCTCATACCAGAGTCCATGTACTTACAGTATTTGCCTAGCCTGTAATTTTATTACATCTGTTTATTTTCTCTCCACCTCTCCTCCCTCCCCCCCTCATACTCTCCCTATTCCTTTCCCTCCTCCCTCCCCACTTTTCTCTGAGCCCGTGCACATGTCCCATATTGTGTACGTGATAGTTAGATGATAGCTTGTGAGTGGGCGTCTGTCCTTTCCTGCCATCACGTAGGTCCTGGGGATTGAGCTCAAGTCCCCACATTTGGTAGCAAAACCCTTCTGAGTGGTCTCACCAGCCTTTGCAGTAATATCTAAGTTGAGAAAAGCTGATTGTGTTTTCTGACGTCTCCTTGTAACTTCAGGATTGGAGAGGTGGAGGCTCAATAATAGGGATTTCAAGGTCATCCTTAGCTATGTAGTGATTGCAGGGCTCTACTATGCTCCATGAGATTCTCTCTCTCTCCCTCTCTCTCTCTCTCCCTCTCTCTCTCCCTCTCTCTCTCTCCCTCTCTTCCTCTCTCCCTCTCTCTCTCTTTCTCTCTCCCTCTCTCTCTCTCTCTCTCTCTCTCTCTCTCACACACACACACACAGGTTTTAATAACTTGTTCATATCATCCAGCCAAAGAGTAACAAAGGCTCTATTGAAATCTGTGTGGAAGTAAACCCTGACTTGTCACTTACACTCCCGACTCTATTTCCTCCTAACTAGTGAGGGTGTGAAGGTCGCTGCACTTACTCTTAACTCACACTGAGGATGCAGCAAGATGGGTAGTGTGCAGGAGGTGACTTTCAAAGTGCTGTGGTGTGAATCAGAAGCAGTCTGAGAGACTAGAATATAACTCTGTGTGCGTGTGTGTGTGTGGTGTTGTTGATGTGCGTACACAACATGCTGGCTGCCTTCATAAATTATAAATTAACCCTGAAACAGTAGTGGCTTAATACAGTAGGAGTTCCATAAAATCTCTTAAAAGCCTTTAGAAAAGCCTTCACTGCATTAGTCCCCGTTTCTAAGGTCACTCTGGGTGTTAGAAGCCGATTAAAGGCGGGAGAATGGAGGATGAGAGAGGCTGTGTTACTTTTATTTTTGCCCTCCTGGCAACATCCGAGGTAAAATCAATTGAAGGCAGGCAAGGTTTATTCTGGCTCACAGTTTGAGGACACAGTGGGGAGAGGCGTGGTGTCGGGCAGCTCTCGCACACGCGGCGTCTGCGTTGGAGAACGGGGATGAAGTCTGGCGCTCGGCTCACCTCCTCGTTTTCATTCTGTCTTGGGCCCCGGACCTTTCAGGGTGTGCAGGCTCCCCTCAATCAACCCTAGCTAGAACCTCCCTTTTAAACATTCGGAGAGGCTTGTCGTCCAGTGATTCTTGATCCTGCCAAATTGACAGGTCAATATTAATCACTTCAGAGGGCAATTTTGTGGTCAAGACTCCAAAGTAACGTCATTTACCTTGTTTGTCCGATGGACCGCATGTTCCCCGTGGTTACCTTGAACTGTGAGGCTGCGCACTCAGGGTAAGGGAGAGGGCTTTGGAGAAGCTTCTTTCTCGCCTCACAAGTACGACGCACACATCTTCATGTTTTAAGAGACAACACCACAGTGCCTCGCCAATATTTTATATTGTCAGCTCTTTTAGATGTGGTGTTTAACTCATTCTTCCTACTCCATGTATGCATGTATGTATGTAGTATGTATATATGTGTGCATGTGTGTACTATGTATGTATGTAATATGTATGTGTGCATGCGTGTAGCATGTATGTATGTACGTAGTATGTATGCTTGCATGTGTATAGTATGTATGTATGTAGTATGTATGTGTGCATGCGTGTAGCATGTATGTATGTATGTAGTATGTATGTTTGCATGTGTATAGTATGTATGCATGTAGTATGTGTGTGTGCATATGTGTATATATTTGGATGCATGTGGAGGATGGAGGTAGACAGACACCCAGTGTATTCTTTAGTTGCCTTCTGCTTTGGTGTTTGAGGCAGTGTCTCTCACTAAATGCTGAGCTCCCCGATTTGCCTAGGCTGGTTGGCCAGAAAGTCCAAGTGATCCATCTGTCTCTGAACCACAAGGACACATACCACAGTCAGCTTTTAGGTGGC